AACAATGATGGATTGCAAGAGTTAGTGAATAACGATTAAACTTGTTTAGGCAATAGTCAGCAAGGCTTTCGAGAGATTCATGAAATATCGTGAAAAAATAAGAGTTAAATACCGGGGCAATATATTGACGAAATCCAAGCCTTGGGTACAACCAGGATGCTATGTTAACATCAATCTCAGTAGCAGAAAAATCGATCCACTGCTCAATGTGACCCTGAAAATCCAGTGAAAAGTAGGATAAGAGGATAAGCTAAACATATAACTAGAGGTGACTTAATGAATGGAAATGAAAAAAATTTATATGTAGAAGCTAAACAGCAGCAGTCGACTTACGAAATCAATCAACGAAGACCCATATAAGGTGCTATCAGGATTTGATCGAGCCACTGAAAAATATAAGCAGGAAATGCCTAAGAACAAATTACATTACAGAACCAAATCAACACAGAACTAAAGGTTAGTTAATTTTACCATAGCGTGCAATTGCATTGCTCTCGAAAACACAGCCATCGGGCGTTTCAAGCACAGGAATCTAAGGAGAGAAATCTCAAAATCAGTGAAGCAGCAAGAAAATAAAAAATTGCATGAATTCAAAAAAACAATACTGCGAAGCAATTTGTTCTTACCTTCCCAATCGGATTCATCTTGATGAATTCTGGGGTTTTATTCGTCACGCCCATCTGAAAACCCTTCGACAATTCAATTCTTACACCAGTGTACGCTGCTGCTATAAGTGCCTTGAATGCATTTTTGTTCTCAGAGGAATGCAGAACCTGATTAGATTACCAAACAAGACTCAAACCCAGGATTACAAATCACACAAAACCAGAATATGCACGTTTATGCACGATCAATATCACAGGTCCAGCTTCTTTTCAAGAAAGTTCCCATTTTTTAAAACCATTGTTTTACTTAGTTCAGGACAAAGTTCTCCAAAATGGAAAATACAGCATAACCCACCAAGCCATAATCACAAGAACCAAAAATCGGAACTTTGCTTCCAGTTACACAAAAAAACATATTAAAAATAAACAAGAGGATGATCAAATTTATAGAAAACCACGAGCCAGAGAAACAACGTCAATATCATTGGATTAGGAAGTTCTCCGGTAAGAGCAAATGCATAAATAACAGAACCCATAAATAGCAATCTACACTTGATGCTTGCATGCTCCACAAATCTAATAACAGATCTACAATAAAACATTACAAACCCGCGAAACAAAAGGTATACTCACCAGAGCCATTGCTTCACAAGATCGATCCCTTCACACTCTAAATTCTTGAGAATCTGAAAGAAAAGAAAAAACAAAGATTAGACTATCCAACCAAAATAGCGAATATGCGGATACTTAACAGTCAATTCAATTTGCACATGTGTAAAGGGTGAAAATTACATATCTTAAGAAAGTGTTTCAATGGAGTAAAGAGTTAAACCTCTAGAGTGAAAGAGGCCGTATGCTTCAGATGCTGATCGAGGCAAATAACAGAAGGGAATAGCTTTAGGGTTTCTTGTTTGAATATATNTGTGGATGTGTGTAGATGACTCCTACCAAATTGGTTTAGCTCGAACTTGTATAAAGCTCGTTTAGTCTGTTCGACTTGTTAAGATTGGAAAATATAGATTTTTATATAATCTTTTATAGTTCGACTTGTTATATCTCGAGTTCAATCGTTATTATCAATAAAAAAATCGAGTTTGATCTCATTTCTTAGCTCTTTTTATTAACGAGTCGAGCTCAAATAGATATGACTCATTTACACCTGTATTGATGACTTTATAGTTTATACTATAAAATATTTTTATGAAATAATTTTTGTCTATAGATATCAACTACATTATATTATACTGCAATATATCTTATTAGTGAAAAAACTAGTCCTTTTTATTTGTACAATGCCAATAATTTATAGTTTTAACAACACTCAAATTTATTTATGTACTTGTGCTGGTTTTTCCTTTTATTTTATCATTGGTGGGGTTTTAGACCCAAATCTCTTAAATCAATTTTTCATGCTTATTACTTGAGACCACTATAAATAGTGATTAGAGAACTTGTCGTTTAATTCTTTCGACTCCTCTAGCTTTACGACATTTTTTTAAGGGGAATAACTCCAGACAGACAAATCAACCTTAAAAGTAGGCATGACCATAAGGATAGCTAGTTGGTAGCATTTGTTTAGTAGAAAATTGTAGGTATGTGGTAACCGAGTTACCCGACTCGGGTCGTTCTCTAAGGAAGGCTATTCGGAGCTTTGGTTGCTATTCAATTGTCCAAAAACACAAAACAAGAAAAATAAATCCTAAACATTCTATTCATTTGTTGGAGATTGATTAAGCACTAGATTAACTAAGAAGGTAAGCAACTGGCAATTAAACGAACAATTATACTAGAAACCCTAGCTTACTAAACCGGAGAACCAAAAATCAAGAAAAACGAGCGAAAACAATAGGAACGAGCTCCATCTATCACACTTAATAGTTAAAGACGAAAATTCTACGACGAAATAACCGAGCTCAATATCAAAGTCACGATGTTTCAAGTAGAACTTCACACTTCAACCAACTCAAACACAATAGACGAGTTCAAAAACCACGAAAACACGGAAAATAACTAAACGAGCAAACATATCCAATAAACGAGCAAGCCCTAATCACTTCTACTCACTAGATAGCAAATTAGGTGCACCTTACGAAAGTATAAATCTTAAAAGTAAGTACTCACATTCCTAGTGCATGCTTGGTCGAAATCGGAGTAAAAAGATATAAACTTGCATAAAAACGAGAGTCGCCGGAAAAAGTTGCCGGAAATAGTTCGCCGGAAAATACTAAGCTAGAGAGAATCTAAAGGGAAATCTAAAAACAAAAACATTACTGTTGTAGCAAAATATATTTTTACCGAGTACCGAATCGAAAGATTCGTTTCCCGGGTCGATCTCTCAAGGAAGGTTAGCCGGATATAATTGTTCAATTATTCAATCACAAAAGAAGATAAAAATCCTAAACACTCTATTATCAATATTTGGGGTTTCAATTATCAACTACCAACTTTAAATTAAATAAAGCACGAAATGAACAGTAACGAATTAACTGAGGATTTAAAGAGCTAGGGAATCGGGGATAATTGTTTTCGGTTCTAACACAATCACCGGCATTCAATTGCTCGGTTAAAGGAAGTGAATCGTCTTTCGTTTAGAGGTTCACTCTCAATAACTCTTCGTAACAAGAGAGTGAACGTTAACGATTAACTATCAATTCCAACAACTCATAGATTATACGCTTCCGAACAAATCTATTCTAAACGAGCCTAATTCTACCAACGTCTCCCCTCTCGGTTCTACACGTTGATTATCTAGGCTAGAAAGGTGATCAATCTCCTAACCCTATGGTTCACACAACTCGAATAGACATGAACAATCAAAAGCACTCAATTATAACGAACCTAATCAATCATCCCCTATCCCTAGCGAGTGAATTTAGCTACTCATATGGAATTCAACAT